TGATGAACAATAGTTCAGGAGCCTTAAGATAGTTAGGTACATCAAGTCTCATTTCTGAAAGGGACAGACAGACAAAGAATTTATATTAAGGAAGAGACCTTTGGTAGTCGGAAACAAACAAACAAACAAAAAAAAAACAAAAACAAAAAACCAACCAACCAACCAAACAAAAAACAAACAAAAAAACACCAAAACAAAACCCCAAACAAACCAACACTCCCACCCCCACTCCCCCCAAGAAAAAAAAACAGAATCTGGACACAATTCAGGCTTGAAAGTAGGAAGGAAAGATTTGAGAATTCTAGCTTTGCTTCTTTGCTTGACTTAATCCATACACAATCCAGCCTGTTTACATGTATTTGGTACAAAGGTTTGCTTGTAAGGAAACATTGTTGTCATCTCTCTTTTTCTAGACTGTATGCAAATCATATTACTCAGAATCTGTGTGGACAGAAAGAACACTCTTCTGTATGGAATTATTTCCCAGGTCTATATGTTCTTACTCCATCCCCTGAGAGTATTGAAGAACATTATTTTCTCTTGAAACTGTATCAGTTAATATTTGAATAATTACAACTCAACAAGGAAAGAAAACAGAAGAACTACCAAAAATAATTTCAGGTCCCCAGATCAATACAGTATGTTCAACAAACTTCACAACTGTCAGATGTAGAAATGCAGCTCTTTCTGAATGACTGTCTATTGACTTCATAAAACAGTGTAGCAGAAGAACAAGACTGTATATACCATAGCACAAGAGAGCACAATAACAGCAGAACGCACAAACGGTCCATTAGTTGTTATACTTAGGACAGCAATAGGAAAGCAGTATTGGTCAAGGATAGCCTTTTCATCTCTCTGAGAAACATTTCACAGTTGAGACCACTTCAAGCATTTGTACTGGCTGTTGTTCTTGGATACTTGCATAAACAGGTCAGCTCACAAGTATTTTTTTTTCTTTTTGGTATTATGCGCATTTTCTTGCTAGCAGCTAGGTTGCTCTCAATTTCAGAACTCTGTATTATATGGCAACCTTCTTTTGTGTCATTGCTCTTCTGCCATCAAAACAGAAAACAGAACCCCCCTGACTTTATTTTCTTTAAACACAAATGTATTTACCATTGCTTTACAATGAATTTGAACAAATCAATGTTTCTCTCATTCAAATGAGTTAAAAAATGACTCAATGAGGCAAAAAGAAAATATGTCTTTCCAGCCCTCTGCTCTATGAAAGAGAAGTATACCTGCAGTAGTATAGTTTGTTATTTAATTACTTTTTTTCCTTTACCCCAGACATTGCTGAACTAATTTCATGATTGATATTATAAATATTTCAAAATAATGAAATACCGAGGAATCCTCATGCTTTGTTTAAAAATATTTAATCCTATTAAAATGTTGATTCAAATTCATACAATTTCTCCCCAAAGTTTGATGACAGTTAAGATGACAACTCAAGAAGAAATACAGTGTTGTATTTAATAACTTTTCTCATGGTTTACTGAGTTCAGGGAGAGTTGCCCTTGAAAGTGTAGTAGTATAACTTAACAAATATATTAGCAAAGAACTGTGGAGACCTTACTTTTTAGTGTCTGGAATTGAAAGACTGATTTATTTATTTTTTAACCTAAATAAAATCAATGCTTTCCATTCTTTTTTTTTCTTTTTTTTTTTTTTTTTTTCCCCCAAGTTTTGCACTGCCTACAAGTTAATGAGATTTTTCTAATCATCTTACCTGCAAAATCTCTTTTAAGGTTTGTTAGTCCAATGTTTATGAAAGCTCAGAACTCTGCTACTGACAATCACTATGTTGAAGACTGTAATGCCAGTAGCAGAACATGAATATAGCTCAGGTTTTAAAAGCACAATCTCCAATTTAAGCAGAAAAGTTCAGTAGAAAAATACACTATCTCCAAGGCAGCGAAATCTGGCACCTTCAAGAAGACAGTAAAATTTGCCACCCGATAGTCTGCCTTGAACTTTATGATCAATGATGACTATTCACCATCTTTGCTAGACAAATTTCTTATAGCAGATTGGGAAATATCAGAAGTATTAAAAATAATTCTTTTGAGGCAAGAGAAGATAAAATTAGAGTTAGCTAGCTTGAAGGTTTCTTCTGCTTCAATTTCACTTTTTTCTGATTCCTTTCTACTTAAAACACCATGAACCTGCCATTATGCCATTAAGTTTTTCTAGAAGTGCCATCTTGATATTTTTGACTCTGCCTCCTGCATTCATCCATTCCTCATGGTGAATTTATCTCATGATACATGCTCATGTAATCCTGGATGATAAAAAAATAAACGTAGAAATAATCCAATAGAAAGATTTATTTTTTTTGTGTCACTGCAAGTGGTTAGGTTTGTATCTCTTTATTATCCAATAATGAAAAGGCCCTTCTGTAAAGCAAACCAGAAAACAGAAGCTATGAATTTAACCATGAGAAACACTGCTGAATTCCCTGACATCTGTAGGGCTGAAGTTTTAGTGCTGACTAATGTAGAATAAATAGTTATTTAAAACTCTCAATAAGGTACAATATAAAGAGCTTTAAGTTCTGTTTGATATTCCAAATCCTAGTCCTAACCCTGGAGTGAGCTAAAAACCTCCTCTCCTCATACTTTCTATTAACAATCTACATCTAACAACACAAAGTATTTATGCAAAAATCTTGTGTAGCACCTATTAAAGCCATTCTGAAGGGCTTTAACACCCAGCCACACCTCGATCACAGTCAGATAGACGATCACAAATCCATGCAACTCTTGAAGACTGGCCTTATGACCAGCTGGTCATTAAAGATACCAGGGTAACAAGCGTTATTCCTCTGAGTGGCTTCAAAACACTTGCCTCCTACAGTGCTGTAGAGTTTAACAAAAATCAAACTTCACACTTTTTTGTAGATTTGGCACTCCCCCTCATCTGCTCAACAATGTTTTACCTTTTTTTCAGAACAGCATCACATTCCCATAAAGTTCCCAGCAGCTTTCTAGATCCTCATCACAAGTTACCAGTTTATGAATTTGAGTATGTTTAAAAATTGTTTCTCCTTACACTCCAGGCCCAATTCTAACTGGTTCTAAACCACCTCATCTATTTTGTACCTTTCATCTGATTTAGGAGCTTACACTAGAGCAGGAAGCATGTGAGTCCACTTAATATTAAATAAGGCTTTCCTCATTGCTCCAGCTCAAGGAATACATGGTTAAGAATATATAGTCAAATCACTGTTTATATGAACACCTTCGGTGAAGTTGATAGAGCTCACAAATACTGGGTAGGTTTGGGTTTGCAGTAGATCCAATACAATTAGTAGGTCACAGGTCCTGAACCATCTTACAAAGTGCTACAGACTACTATAAAGAAAGTTGATGTGTTTCATAGAAGTCAATCACAATAAAGTTATCAAATTTCACAATGATAAAGGTTAAAAATAATCTCCCTTACACTTCCATGAATCATTTCTAGAATTTACAAGAGTAATAAAAGAATATATTGTATTTGCTTTGTTTAAATTAATTCTGAATTAACTCAAAACTCATATTCATAGATGCACAATGCTCAGGCCTATCTCTGTAAGCAATATGTGGAAAGTTGTTTCCAGTGAATTTCAAACTTGAGGTTACGTTTCACAATTAGAAACAAACTAAATCCATTAAATGAAGACACCAAGGCAGATATATTTTCCATGCTGCAGTGCTATGGACTGTTAGAAGTTCTGTTAGGACTCCTTCACAATCACCGTGCATAGTGTCAGGAAACATACATTTGCAGTAATGGAAAAATCGATCTCTACTAGGTATTTTGTTTTCCTGACATCCTTAAGCATTGAACTTCCATTTCATGATAAAAAAATTATTAGAGTTCATAGCAGTTAAAAAACCCAAGACCCAGCCTCCAGCATCGGGGGGTGGGGGACATGGATCTCACAGTAGCACTGTTATGGAACTCTTGATGCATGTCAAATATAATAACAACAGATCACCCCCCACCCCTCCCCCCAAAATGTTAGAGCTTTCAAAGTCATAAATATGCACAGAAGTCTTCTATATCTATATAGAGATATTATAACACATTGTTCATTCTAGTGAAAAAAGCAGACAGATTTGGAATATGAACACTGCATGGCCTTGAGACCATGGATCCCCCAATGGTATGCACAGCCAAAGGTGCTAGAAGAATATCCTGACCATAACCCTTTGTAGGTGAAATTTAGTAAATGCAAGAATGCAGAATATTCATTCCGTTCTCTTTTGCATAAGCACTGTAATACAGTCTTTAATTATATACTCAATCTGGTATTTTCATTCCAGATCCCTGCTTTTAAACATTTTGCAGAATCGACAGGGCTCACTTAATCAGCAGTTTTTTTCAAATGTTCAGCTGAACACGACCATGCAAGTGTGACCCCAAGAATCTGACTTACTGTAACCTTTTGAACCCCTTGAAGCAAGGTTCAGGGCATACATGTCTCACAAAACATTAATGACCTTAGTTAAGAATGTGCCTGTAAGGTGTGCAATTACTCTACTATTTTAAAAATGGAGCCAAGACAGACAGATTAGTTTAAAAAGCAATATTAATTTTGAGTCCTTGCACTTTATTACAATTTTAGAGGGTATTTAGCAACTCAAAATTAAAAATCTAATTCCCATGTACTTAATTTTTAGTATAATGTTCAAGACAGACCCTGTGGTGTCAAATCAAAAATATAGACCACAGTTTCTCATACTTTTCTCATGTACATGATAGAAAGTAATTATTTTCAGCTCCATTTAGTTTGAAGGTCCCCTCAAGCTGTTCTGTGTACCTAATGTGGCAGGGGAGAAAAAAGCAGTAGGTAAGAACTTCTCAATCCAGAATTGCTGCCAAGGTAGTGTTATGTGTAACACACTTCCCAGGAAGAAGAAACATTTGTGTGAAAAGTTTGGCTTAAACAATGTATTTAGCATCACTGCAAAATTCTGTAGCAGAAGTGGGGACAAAATCCAACTCACCATGGTAGGTTCTACTTGCAAAAATCTCCCTTCTCTCCTGCATGCCCTATCTCATTTTGGTGAAGCAAATGGGACAAGGCATCCACACCAGTAGACCTACCTTCTCCCTAGAGAAAGGACAGAGAAGTCAGAAAATAAATGGCAATTTACAGCGGCTGATAATCAGCTAAAGACATTTAGCAAATCTATTGTTCATTTCACTGTCCTTACCAAGGTTATTACTATGGGGATCTTCCATTTAAGTTTCACAAGGGGTTGCACCATGATATTACAGAATGAACTGTTAAGAAATAGAAAAGCAAAGAACTAAGCCCAAAACAGAGCTTCTGCAGTAACAGATCAACTGCTGCAGCAGTTTAACATGGCAATGATATGAATGGGTTTAGGAACTTATTTAGCATCCAAGCTTTAGGAAACATAGATAAAGATTCATTTAATGAGTAACACTGCATCATCCATCAGCATTATGTTGCCACAGGCAACTGGCATGCTGTTAGCTTGTTAATAATTTCAGTTGGTTTCTTTGGTTGGCTACACTTAATTGTTGTCAACCAGAAAACAAATTAAAATCTTGTTTTCTTTGCAAGGCCCTTATGCTCAGCATTTCAAAACAACTAAATGACAGAAGCTAATTTGAGGGGGGGAGGGGATGTTTAGAGCTACTTACAGGAATGAGGTAGGTAGGTAGGCCCCTGTTTCTAGTATGTTTACCTATTTAGGAAGGCAGGAGGCAACTGTCCAGCTGATTTTACTTCCAGTCTTGATGCTCTGCAATATCACGTGCCTGTGAGAATGGAGAGAAGACCAGAACATGTGTTACTGTTTTACTCCAAAAGTGACACTGTAAAGTACTATTCTGCATCCATTTATCATTCCTGCTACACACCCTGACCCTGGCATCTTCATCTGCAGCGCTATTATGGAGAAATAATTTCCTCCTTTCTTTCTGCTTTGACCATTCCCAAAATTGTTATAAGCAATTCAGTATCTTGCTGTGGAGATAACAATAGCTTTTCCATCAAGAACTTCAGCTAGAGCCCAATCCAATTCAGGTTAAACAAAAGAAACATTAATTACCACACAGAGAAACAGAAAGGAAGCTTTCTGAAGGGAAACACTGGCTGACCACTGGCACACATTAACCTAGACAAAGATTGTAAAAGGTAACTTGATAAACCCAAATGCTACGCCTTAAGATTGAGATTGCTTTGTCATTGCAGAGGTATGTACATCAATGACATCTTCTTAGAAATGCAGCCCACCTACTGTTTGGTTCAGAGAAACAATGGCAGTATACCTCAAAATCCAATTTAGAGGGCTGGTTTTCCACCAGTTTGACTGCACATTCCATGTCAATGACAGAACTGAGTAAATTATCCCAGTTGATCCAGTATATTTAGTTCCTTTCTACTCATGAAACGTCCAATTGCAGATTGAGCTGTACTGATTGTGTTCAAAAAAAAGTCATATGATTTAAACCAAACAAACCCAGCAAAGCATTGCAGATTGATCTAAAAGAATCCTCAACATTAATTAAATTAACCATGAGGACCCAAGTGGTTTAAAGAGCGATATGATAATGGTTTGCTTCCTGATTGGGTGTTTGAGCATGCTGTAGTTTATCTAACTTTTTATCTGGTTTAGCTGTTAAGAGAGTAAAAATGATCAGCACATGCTCTTCTTTTAAAGCCTGTTTAGTGATATTCTGCCCAAATATCATTCCTTCTGACCCTGACTGAAGTCCGCTTCTCTATTAGTCTAAAGTACCATTAATCAAGGTCTTAAAACATTGTATCTTGTAAAGTTTTTATGGTGATCATTCTTATACTTGCTTTCTCCCAATTCTTTGAATTTCTGTTCCTCCCAGCTACAACACATTACACCTTCTTCTCTAGATACAATTTGCTTTTTCTTAACAAGTTCATATATATATATATTTACTTGTATATTTATGTAAGCAAATCCACAGATTTGTTAAATATATTTGTTTTACAAAAAGACAGACTAACAAACTCACTTTACTGTTTTCCTTTTCCACTCTCTCAGCTGTATTTTTCCTAGTATATGTTGTTGACAAACTTATTTCAATACAACACACCTTCACTGGCCATTTTTAAAGCCATAAGATGCTACCTGCTTTTCAGGTTTGGTTGAATACCAACTCATGTCAGCCACCTAGAACACTAAGTTCACTTTTCTAAGAAATGTCATTGAAATGGAAAAACAGCTATGGTAACCCGATCAGGAAGAACTAAATATCCTCTAAAATTGTACACAGAGTATTTAGTGGTGGTCACAAAAATAACATATTTAAGGTGTGGAAAACAAACATACAACTCCATTCAGTTGGGAACTTACATGCACATCTTTAGAAATGTCTACTGAAGTGCATAGGCAAAACTGTACTTTTTGACTAAAGATATCACACCTTTGATTCTCATAATTCTAAGAAATGATCCAAAATGCCAAATTAAGATAGGTTTTTACAAGATTGTTCAGATACTTTTTTCACTCTTCTCGAGGTCTTTATTTCAGACTTCTAGATTAAAACATTACCCCAACTTCACTCCGATTTCACTGTAGTGTTTATACTGTTATGTGCAGATTGTACAAGTACACATAATTATGCTAAATTTCTCATAGCCAAAGAATGGTGCTCAGGATCTTTGAGTTCGTCTGATTGTTTTCCACCAGCAACATTTCATTCACAACACACATTACAGTCACACACACAAATCATTGAGAACAAGTGGTGCATCAGTAATGCTTTTGGTGGAAACAAAAAGAGATCCCAAGCCTGTTGTGCTGTTCTGATGCCCTCACATCCTGCTGAACTGCTTGACACTCACAAAACTCAATTAACACTTCTAGAAACAGCACACAGGGAAGAACTACTCAGGGTACCACTGTCCATCAAAGTGCCCATTTGTTTCTCTGAAGTGCCATTAAAAACCAGCTGTTTTAATTGCAGAAGTTCAAAAACAGCAAGAACAAAGCTTTCTCTAGATAGCAAAAATGTAAAGTAAAAAAAATGGAATACATAAGAGACTGCAGAGAAGAGTCTCTCCTGATTACTTTGCCTCCTGCTAAAACCATCCCTGGACACTTGCATGTATCCTTTGTATAATAAAACAGAGGTTAAGAGACTGAGGGGAGGTATACTGGTCTCATCTTAATTGGGTGTAATTCATGCAACAGCAAAAGAAATGGACAAGGAGACACAAAACTTGTCTTTCAGTGCAGAGGCCATAGGAAAAGTCACAGTTATCTATGATTACAAACTACAGACTTAAATGAAACTGTCATTGCCAATACCAGCTATTAATTTGACCTTGTCATTCAATTCTAAATTCAGTTATTTGATGAGTCTATCAAAATGATTCACACATAAATGAAAGAAAAACAAATGACATTAGATTCAAACTGAAACAATCACAAGAAAGTTTCTATGGAAATAACATCAAACATTTCCAGTAAGTTCCTATGGAGGTAATTAATGCTTTCAAAATTCAATCTGTGTCTTGTTTATGGCATAACCAAAATGTGACAATCACTCACTAATGATTCATGAAGGTTTTGGTGTAGTAATACCTTGACATGATTACACTCTAGTCTAAAGTGCTATATGTTTTCACAGTTTACTATATGGTATATATTATCAATACATTGATTATATTACTGTTTAAGCTCAGATTTATAATTATGATTTAGAATTCTGTGTCTGAAAATAAAACAGACACTTCCAGTCACGCAGATGATAGTTACATGTGTTTTCTCATTAGCCCAAAGAAACATACACACTGAAGATTTTCAACTTCAAAAAGCAAAGGAGGACCTTTGTGAACAATTTTGTTCTGAGCAGTTCCATCATGAAAGGCTGAAATGGGACAGGTATACTGGAAGTGTCCATGTTTGAAGTTTATGGCAGACCTCAGGTTTTGCCATGATTAGATACTCAATTAGGCATCTGAACACTGACAGAAACAGTATCACCAAGATGTTGGAAAGTTTCCTGTACTCTACCTTTAGTTCTCAGTATCTTTTGTCACCTTGAGGAAGCAGTCTTTTTGTCCAAAGCTCTAACTTAAGACATGATAAACCTCTCAGCTATTCTACTGCTGCTGACTTTTAGCATCTGTAGTAACAGCATGAAGTCACAGAAAACACAATTATTGTTTGACTGGTCAAAACCTAAAGACACCTTTTTACAATGGAAAATTCTCTTTTTAATTGAAGACCTGATATACACCACCTACTTCTTTTTCACATAAAGCAGAGCAACAGAAGTCTGCTCTGCAGAGCTGTTGCCCTGCTGGGACCTGCTGACATGGTGGCAGCTGGAAAACCAGTCTTCATCTTTAATAATATAAAAATAAGCTGGGTTGGAGATTAGGTCTGAGAGCTTTAGCTGCATGTTGTACCCAGCTTGTGTTTCAAAGAAATTTCCTAATACCTGTCTGCACATTTCTTAGCAATCTCACAAACAAAAATCTGTGGAAATAGCACCAATCCTACCTGTCCTGAAAACTGGGGCAACAAAACTGAATTGAAACATCTTCCATTTCTTCAATAGCCAAGGAATGTTTTATCAAGAGTAAGAAAGACTAAATTATTTGATTGTCTAGCTACACAACATTAAATTAATCTGACTATTCTGTGCTGCCAGAAATGCAGCCAGTGATGCCCATTGAATCTCTGTAAACAGGACTGCGAAATCCAAAATCATAAAACTTGTTTTCATGTCCCCAACACTGTGAACATCTACACTTTATTGTACATAATCATTTTTTTAAAATGTCATCAGATAAGTAGCTCTTCTTTTCCTAGCCACTGAAAGCTCAAAATTCTCAATTAAATGAGTTCTAAGGTAGTTTTTTTTCCAAATTAAAAATGGTATGGATCTAAGTTGAACCACTGAAGTAGATTTTGACTACATAAGTATTTATACACTTGCATTAAAACATCTTAAGAAACAGGAACCAGAGGAACTCTAATACTGGGAAAATACCTTGGAAAAAAGGGTTACATTTTATACTTACAATGCTCAATCTGATAAACTCATGCCACTTCTGTTTAACTTTATGAAGCAAATGTTTTTGGTTTTGAAATACAAAGTTGTCTGGTTTCACCAATTAGCTCATTCCGTAGCCTTAATTTCATTAAAGGAGTAAGTTTCAGAGAATAAAAATGATGTCATATTTCCACACATACAAAACCCCTAAAACATGTAATTTAAATCTCCATTATTTTTCCCTATGTAAACCAATTGTATGACTTCCAAACTACTTCCTGAAAAATGCCTTTTTTTTTCCCTTTTACAGTCAGAAAATTGAGACAAAACCCACTGAAAATTATAAAATAAATATTATCTATAAACTAAAATACAAATCTTGTGAAGAGTATTTAGTATGGTGTGTCCTGACTTTTTGTTAGAATGTGAATTCACTTTTGTCTTACAAACTCTCAAGAATTGTACTGTATCCTAAATCACAAGTATTAAATTCCAATTCCAAGGGTTTTTTTCTCTCTCATCACCATCAGTACTAACATTAAATAATAAAGTACAATTTTGTGAATAATATGAAGTCAGCAAGTGCATTGATATAGGTTTCAAAACAATTGTCACTGGGCATAACATATGAAAAGCTTACTTTTAAAATCACATTTTAGTTTATTTTGTCCTGAATTAGAAGAGTTTAAACTCATATAAATCTACCTGCATGCTTAGTTATGCAGACATCATTAGACTGTTCACATGAAAGCAAACATCTAGTCACCAATACA